GAAAACTCTCCCCCCGACTTAATTAGCCACGCTGACGAGTATGGTATAAATGAAATTAATAAAAATAATCGTTAACTGTTTTCCAGCTAATCCCCAAAGGCCTCTTATGTCTTTCCTGAAAAGATATGCAAAGCTGTCCCGGGATTGAACCTTCCTCCACATTCTTCCTGTCACCGCCGCGCACTGCAAATTATGATGCTGAGCAGCCGCTCAGACGGTGGTGCCGTGTCCAAACAAATCCTCCTAGAGTCAAAGAGAAGAGGCAAAATCACGTCCCAGAGGAGTGAAGGGATGCCAGCAGGCTTTTGGACTGTCACACAGGAGGAGACAGCAGGGGGGAGGGGAGGGAGGAGTGCAATCAGTCCAATTTCTGTACAGATTATATCCCAGTTCAAATCAGCAAACAGGACAGTTTGTCCAACTGTAGTTACACTGTACTACACTAGTACTTCTAACGTCTCCGCCAGGAGGGCACAAACTTTTTAGAAGGTAAAAGTACTTTGGGTTCCTTTAGGAATTGACAAGACTGTAGTTATGCCAGAGTTGATCACATTATAATAATTCCATTACATTAGTGATGTGTTTGAGCAAATGTTAATGACTTCATGTTCGCCCACTTCTTTGACACATTTTCTGCTCGGCTTCGTGCAGTTTTATGCAGATGATGCGAGGAAAGATTTAAAGTCCAAACTTTCCACTAAAAACCTGCCAAAGTAACATAAAGTCCATTTTTTAAACTCGCTATGTTTTTGGAAGAAACACTACTGGTGACACAAATCTTAAGACTGTGGCTGGAAGAACGTACGGCGGAGCAGAAAGTAAGAAGTAAGGCCCAAAAAGATGAAGAGTACGAAAAGTTTCAAAAGGAAAACACAGAAAAGTTTTGGAAAAATAAAGTTAAGAGACGTAATACAGAGCAAAAGAAGACAAAAAAGGATAAAAAAAAATTAGGTCACAATTATACAAAAGACAACAAACAAATAAACAAAAACAGCAAAAAATTAGACCAACCACTTTCGAGGGAAAAATTTGTTACATGCTGAAAACCGAAGCTAACAACGGCCGTTTTCCATCTACATCAGTAGTGGGCAAACCTTTTGACCTTTAGGTATGAACTAAGATAAAAGTCATGCATAAAGGCTAAAATGCTAAAATGCATTTAGTCTTCTCTACGCCATCTATAGGGAAAACGTGGGCATTGAAGGGAAAAAGCAGAAGTATAATCGTAATACAAACTGATTATGTAATTTGGACAAGTTTGGCCAGATTACAGCTGAATTGGCTGCAATTTTAGGACATTGATGACTTTTTTTTTTTCACGTCAACTAATCTGACCATAAAGGTGAAGTCGAGTCGACTATATAAAAATTTCAAGAGCAGCCGAAGCTTAGCTACAAATCATCCAAATATGTTGTTACAGACCAAAACGTTTCCTTTTTTCTTTCCTGCCCTGGAGGAGTTAATAAGAATTCCGAGGGCTCTCTGTAGCGTTTTTTCATTGTACCGCCTGCTCCCCAGACACCAGACTGGTCAAACAGGAGGAGATGATACAAGGACATGAAGTGAAGTGAAGCAGGCTTTGTCAATATACCGGGATTATTCTGGAAGAATCCCTGCCAGTATGGATGGAAATCCATAAGACGACAAAGAGGATTCTCTTCACAAACAGTGAAAACCAGGAAGAAGTGACAGGAATTAAAATATATATATAAATAAATAAAGTGTTTTTCAATGTTTGATCCCAGACTGGGGAAATTGTCATTAGCCAAAAATCTTTAAAAACAGCTACAAATCAGTTGTAAGCCTGTAATAACCCAAAAGACGTTAGCTGTTAGCTGTTAGCTGTTAGCCTGGAAAAACCTAGAAAATGGCAAAGTTAAACAACAGTACTTCAAAGACCGCTTCAAACTTCAAAGAAAAACAATATTTAGGTTTATCTCTCAGAAAGTAAAGAAAGTAGCAAAAACAGCAAATATATATATATA